TCGTGGGGACGGGGATGGGGTTGGGGTCGGGGTCGGCCGCCCCCATGCAGTGGTGAGAGGAGGCAGCGAGGGATTGCAGTGGGAACCAGGAGCTTTTGTCAGACCCTCGTAAGCTCCTGGTGCTTTCTGGCATCCGCTTAGCCCCAGAGCCTGGCCATCCCCAGGAATTTATGATGAAAATGTTCGCCCCAGACTTTTCAGAGGCGAGTGTGAAATGGTGTAAATCATCAGGATTTGCAGAGCCTGAGCTGCTCGGGATGTGTGTTTTGCAGTGAAGATGTTTTTAGCAACCCCCCCTTCTCCCTCATCTCCATTTCTTCAATGCACACCTTGCTCGGCAAGGCCCAATGAGCTCCCCTGGTGCTGCCATCCTTGGGATGCCCGCATTGGACCTGGTGTAGGGCTGTTGCAGCTGATGTCTGTGGGTCCCCAAGGGACCTTGCCCACACCCTGTGCCTTGCACAATGCCAGGGTGCTGCTCCCTCCTGCGCCTGTCCTGGCAGCGGGCTGGGGCGTGCGGTTGGAGCAAGGCGCAGGTTTAGGAGCCGGGCACTGACTTTTGGTGAATTACCTTCATGTTCTTCATTCTCCGCTCACCGCCAGTGTCACAACAAGAGAGCCTGGAAAGGCTCCCGAGTGCACCAGAAAGGAATCTAATTTCTTTTCGAGGGAGTTGCTGCAGAAAAACATTTGAGTTATTTGCTAAGCCCCAATAATGATACTTTGCATTTGCATTGCAGCTTCCACCTAAGGGCATCTTGGCACAGGCGGTAATTAAACCTCCGAGCCCTTGCGAGGCAGACAAAGCCCTTTTCTAACGTTTGACAGACAGCTAAACTTCGGGCCAGGGTCAGATTAAGTGGCTTGCTCAGCGACATACATTGAGTGTGCAGCAAATCCAAACTCAAACAAGAGCCCTGCTCAGCCCAAAGAGACGTTTGGGATTCTGGTCCCTCCGCTCTGCTCCGGTTGGCTTTTTGTAAGCCCCTGTAGTTTGACGGCAGCTCGGAGACATCCCTTCTCGGCACTAAGCGCAGGAAGGTCTTTTGTCAGACTTAGGCGACAAGGAGAGCTAATTGCAAATTCAGTTTGGGTTTAGAAAACGCAGCTTGGTCCACATTAGCTCAGCAGCCATAGAGCCATCTCTTAGGGCTTTGCATCGGTGTTATATTCACTTCGGGTCTGTTTTCTTTAGAGCTTTATGGTCAGTAATTAACAGTATAATTACACATGGGCATAATGAGGGCTCCTGACACTGCGGAGCTCAGGGGCAGGGCGTTGTTCCTTGCTTGTTCCCATTCCTTTACTTTGGAAGGCGGCTGGCTCCGGGGTCTGCTCGGAGCTGGCTGCCCAGCTCCCGACAGGAGCGTTGTGTGCCAGGGTCAGGAGGCGCCGCTGCTCTGCGGGGAAGCCTCCTGGCATCCTCTGTTGCCTGCCCCACTCACTGGCCCTCCTCATCCATTGGGTAAATCCCAAAGCGAATGTTCTGCTGGGAATTCAGCCCAGCTGGTCCCCCGTGGCAGGGGGAAGAGGCTGGCAGAGCTGTTTGAGCTGCCCCTCTGGGCTCTGTCCTGGTTTCCGAATGGCCTCCCCTCCACGCAGCCTCTTGGTTGAACACGAGCAGACTTGGAGGCGCAGGATGTGTGCGCTGGGGGGGTTACAGCATGTACATCCAGGCAAAGGAGGCACGTGGTGGGCTTCTTGGGGTCATTTTGCAGGAAGAGCCCACACTTGGCCATGTTCTTTCTGTTGGGTAGGGGCACTGTGGCAGGATGAGATCCCAGACTGGCCCTCCTGGCCCCCTGCCTCCCCATGTGGCAGGGGGGACGTGCACAGTGAGGACGGGTCTCCTGCCCCAGGCCATCAGAGAACCAGGGAGCAGGCAGACCCCAGGTAGAGTTGTTTCAGGGTTCATCGCCTGCCCTGGCTGCCCTCGGGACAGGGACGAGAGCCCAGAGCCTGATCTGGGAGCTGCTCACCCTGGCCCTGCTCTGGCTGCTGCCACTGCAGCACCCGATGCCAAGTGAGCCCTGGCAGCCATCGGGGGCAGCTGGGCTGGAGGACCCCTGTCCCCCCACATCACACCTTGGCTGCTCTTCCATCCCCATCTACTGGCCAGCCTGGAAAAGAGCTTTTGGGGGAAATTTTCCATGAGGCTGCAGAGCTGGAGAAAAAGAGCAGCTGAGTGGCATTGCCTCCGTGACCCTTGTGCCATCCCCAGCAGGCAGTGGCACCGCGAGCGGGTCTGACAGCAGTGGGAGGCTGTTCCTGCTCGGGTAAATCAAAGTTCTGCGCTCTGAGCTTTTGGGACCCCGAGGAAACCATGTGCGGAGAGGGAAACTGCTTCGTGCTCAGCCCACGTTGGTGTCAGGTCTCTAATGAAGTGTTATTTCGCCTTCCTCCTTCCCGTGCTGGCTCTGGGAGCAGAAAGTGGTGCTGGGGGCCTGGTGGGGCAGCAGAGCTCCCTGTGACCTGGGGCAAATCTGCAGCTTTCTGCTTTTTTGATGTATTTTTCCAGAAAATGGGTGAATGCATCTCAAGGGAAGAGACTTCACCCCCTGCTTGCTCTGAATGATTTGGAAATGTTCAGTGTGAGTTTCCTATAAAACGGTTAGGAAAGAAAGTGGTATTTAATTTATGCTCCTGAAAGAGCACAAGTACAACACCCAGACCCCCCCCCCCTCCGCAGTTCCTTTATTCATTTCTGCTTCAGATCAAGCCCTCATCCTGTCCTTGGGGTGTCGATGGGAGAAATGGTGAATTGGATGCAAAGGGATTTCTCTGCAGCCTGGGGAGCTGGGCACACTCATCCAGCTGCATTTGGTACAGGGGCAGCTCCCATCCCTCCCTCCCAAGGCTTGCCTTCCCAATCCGCTGGCTGGGCAATGTCTGCCTTTCATAGACACAGATCTGAAAGAACGAGAGGTGTTGATAGCACCGAGCAAAGAAAATCAGTAGGTTGCAGTGGTGCCAAGCAGCAGATGCCCTTAATAAAGTTGCAATGAAAATGCCCCTTCCTGCCCCTGCAGGGAGGTCAGCCCATCCCCTGCTGATTAACAGGAATCAGTAGCTGTGGTGTAAGGAGCAGTCTCAAACCCCAGCCAGCTGTAGCCATCCCCCGTGCTCAGAAAAGGAGCCACAGCCCTGGATGTTGGCAGACACGGCTGCACTTCTGCTGCCCTGTTTAACCTCAGTAAAGTATGGTGTGACTGCCCAGCCTCTCCAATCTCTAATCAGAGAAAGAGAAGAAAAGAAAATTCCTCCTAAATATGCAGCCAAAGCAGGGTTGCTGCATGCCCTGGGGATGGGTGATGGGATGCTGTCTGTGAAGTCTTCATGGGTTTGTGAATTGTCATTAAAGGATGATGTGCAGCTGCAGAGGGCTTACTGCCTATGTCATGCATCTGCTGCTGCCAGAAAAATGATCAGAAAGAAAGTCATGCTGGCAGCTAAAAAGCAGAATATCTACTAAATCTCAGGTGGGCAGCTGGGCCTTGATTTTGTTCTGGTAGCTGCAAGCTGTGACTCAAGCCCCACACACCCTACCAACCCCGGGAGCACGCTGAGCTATGAAACACAGCAAAAAGCAGGCTGCAAAGCCAGCAGCAGGTCTCAGGACGTGCCAAAGCCCCCTCTGCTTAGAGGAGGACTGGGAACAGATCAAAATTCAGTAAGTTTTTTTTTCTGAAATCAGGGGGAGCTGGGTCTGACCCCAGCACACCTTATGGGATTTTGCATCAGCCTGAGCCTCGGGGAGAACATGTTTAAGTCATAGCCATCCAAGCTGATATAAAGAATACATGGGACATCTGTGCCTCACTTGGGTGCATGGCAAGGGCTTTCAGACCCAGCAGGTGAGCAGCATGGAGGTGCTGGCCTGCTGGGGAAACCTTCACCAACTGCATCTCTCTTGGGTCCTGTCCCTGCAGTGACAGGAGCGGCACGGTGTGGGAAGCTCATGTGCTGCTCCTCTTGCCATCTGCTGGCAATTAAAAGCCCAGCCACCAGCTTTATTGCCAGGAAAAACGTCCTTTCGTAGCACCAGTGGGAGACTGGGTGACACTGGTTGGTACTGGATCCTCAAAACCACTTTAGCTGATGAAAATCACCCAAGCCCCCATGTCAGAGCTCTGGGCTGAAGAGGCCAAGGCTGGCTCTGTAGTAGGGCAGCGTTGATATTTTCTGCAGAATTTTGTGTATGAAAAAAAAAATGCTGAAATTCCCAAGCCCTCACTTCCCAGGCCCATCTGGAAGGCATTTTTGCCTCTGACAAGTTTAGCGAGAGTTTACCAGCAAGATCTGTTTCAGCGAGGGTGGCTGGGAGCTGGATGATGCATCTGGTGCTTATTTTAGCAGGTTTGGAGAGAGTGTGGAAATCCTGCCTTTGTACCAGTGGAAGGAAACTTGAGAAAGGTGGGTGAGGAGCAGAACAATGCTTTGTTTGTCTGAACAGGACAGGTCCTTTTTGGCTGCATGAGCTGTCCCACGGACAGTGGTGGCCTCTACAGCACAATAAAGGGCCGTCTGCTCCAGCGGGACTGGCAGGCAGTTGTGTCCCTGTTGTCTCAGGCATTTTGGGTTGAGATGAAGAATGAGATCTCTGCGGTGTCCTGTGATGGAGCTGGGCTCCAGCTGTGGTTCCTATGAGCTCCCTGGGCCTTGCAGCGAGCTCTGGCAAGCACTGCTGTCCTGTTTCTACCATCCAGCCCTGGCTTGTGATCGTCTTCCAGGATGCAACTCCCTCGTGTTGCTGAAAAATCTTTCCCTAGAGAAGCTTTCTGATTTTCTGCTCCTTTGAGGGATGTTTGTTGAATTCTGCTCACATTCATTAAGGAAACATTCCATTACCTATGGTCTGCTCTTCTTCGAGGACAATATTTCTTCCATTTTCTAGGTGGTGTTAGACGAACAGTGTTGCTGTGGTAGATGAACAGCCCAATTTTTCCTTGTCCACCTTCAGAGCATCTCTGATTTAGGTGATCTCCATCACCTGGGAAAGCAGGTGAAAGCAGCTTAATTGGAGCCAGTTGTAGGGATCTGTGGTGCAGGACTCAGAGAACCTGGTGGCTGCTGACTTCTTCCCAAAGAAGTTTGGCTGTGTGTCTACAAACCATGCGTGTGTACACGTGTAGGTATGGCGTTAGCACGAGTGCCTGAATTAGAGCCATGACCCTCCAGGGAGTGCTGTGGTCTTGCAGGGCTGGAAAGCTGTCAGGTAGGTGCTTCTGAGCAGGGAGGAATGAGGGGGCACTGCTGGGGAGTCACAGAGAGTGGGATGGCTCCTGGGGGCACTGCTGGGGGTGCCTGGCAGCCAAATTGCTCTGTCTGGTGCCATCACCCACCTTGCTGGGACCAGGGATGCACTGGGGTTAAGGGCTCTGCAGGTAGCCCACCAGGCTGCCCCTGTTTGTGTGTGCTGCCTTGGTGGCAGGGAGCCACCAGGACCCGCTGGCTGTGGGATGTGGTGAATCCCAGCACTGCCACTGCTATCTCCTCCTTGATCTCTTCTAAGTGCGCAGCCTGCCAGCTTTGTGAAGGAGCTTATCTTCCCAATTACCTGTGATCCTCTGCAATACAAGACACTTAATCAGCATCTCCTGACTTCTTGTCAGATTAATTACCACCAGGATATGTGTTTTCTGCTGTTTGCTGCTGAATCCGGTCATGGGAAAGTGAAGAGAGCACCCTGCACCTGGCAGGGGGCTGGCAGGAGGGTGGCTCCTGGGGGTCTCCACGAGCAGCGCTGCTTCTGCGAGCCCATCCTGCAGCCCCGGGCTGGCCTGGGTTTTGCAGGGGACATTACTTGCTTGCGGTCTTATGTTTGGCCCTGCAGGACTCCTTCCCCTGCCCCTTTGTGCAGCTGCAGCCAGTGGTGCAAACCAACCGTGGGCACGTGAGTCAGTTCTGGGGTACACAACACAGCCAGGAGGGATGGGCAAAGATAGTCATGGAGTTGTCCAGGTTGGGAAAGACCTTCAAGATCACCAATTCCAAAGAATTTCCAATTTCCTTTTCCCACTCCACCCACTTAGAGAGGGGAAAGGGAGTGGGAAAAAGGCTTTTTGGGCTCCTGGAGAGTATCATGAGGTTTTTCAGCTTTGATTTGTGGGCAGAAATAGTTTTGTCAGCTGCTCTGTGGACAGCGTGGGCTGCTCTCACGTGCACGTGTCCTCCCTTGGTTTCTCAGGCTGTGGCCACGCTCTGACAGCAAGCAGAGGTGTGGAAACCGAGCCTTGTATGGGGTGGTGTGCGTGCCCTCGAAGGGGTTTGGGTTGGCAGCACTTTGCGCAGCCAGAGTGCTGCTGGGCAGCCCATTCCCTCCTGTGCTGGGGTGTGTGGTATGCTCAGTGAGTGCTGCTCCACACATGGCGCCCGTTAGGGGTTCTGGCTGTGCAATTGAGCAGAGAAAATGGTTAAAAAAAATGAGGTTGCAGAGAGTAGGTGGCAGGACAGTGCTTCTGTCCTTCCCCCAGTGCCCCCACCAGGAGCCTGACATGCCCTGGGCAGGCAGGAGCAGGGACTCTGTTCTGTGACTGTCAGGAGACTGAGGTCCCCCTGGGGGTGTCACTTTCCTTGGTGTTTTGTAAAGGCTGCTAGCTTTCACCTTTGTGTTTTGGTCGGGGTGAGAGCACCCTGGAGGTGCTGTGGGGTACTGTGGGGGTTGCAGCACCCACCTGTTGCTTGCTTCTGCTTGGCTGCAGGCCTGCCCAGGAGGATTTGCTGGGGAGAATGAACTGCAGCTCCCAAAAGACTTAAACCTGAAGTTGCTCTTCTTAAGGGGTAATGTCTCCCTTGCACAAGTCCACGGGGATATGTGCAGCACCAGCTCGCTCTGCATTGAGCTCAGGAGATGCCAGGCCAGGGAGCATGGCTGGGAGAGAGGTCACCATGGGTCTGTTCATGTCAGGGGAAAAAAAAAAAAAAGCAAAAACAAAACAGATAAAATCTGAGATGTTTTCCCAGAAATCTCCTTATCTCTTCCCCCTCTCCCTGACAGAGGCTGCAGAGCAGAAGTGTGTTTGGAGCCCGCCGGGCTTTTCCCATGGAGCGCTTGGCTTGTTAAAATCTTTGACATCAGGGTTCTTTATTACCTGCAATAAAATGCCTCTGCTAATCTTTAACATGCAGCGTGCGAGGGGAAAAGGATTGCATTAAAAACCTGTTTATGGGAGTGTTACTAAGACTTGTAGAAAGGAGTAAAAGTGAATGATGGCTGAAGAGAGCCTGCCGCTGGGGCAGCGGAGGCACTGCCCTGCCAGAGGCGCTGGCAAAGCAGCACAAAGGGCTTGGTCCACACCTAACCATGGAGTGCAGGAAAAGTCCGGCACCTCGCTCCCTCCCCACCTTTGCTTTGCAGTGATTTCCAGGCCTGTTGTTTGTTTATCACCCCAGTGTTAATTCAAAGGATTCACCTTTGTGTTTTGGCTGTTAATTCAGTGTTAATCCTCCAGCAGAGCGCCTACAAACACGCCTGTGTCTTGACACTGCTTGGGCACGTGGTGTGAGTGCGGGGCTGCGCGGGGCCCGCAGCTCAAACCCCACAGCAGCTTCCCTCTTTGAGGTAGTTTGGACAGCATTTGGGTATTAAAATATAGCCCTTTCTGCAGCAGTTAGTATTTTTTTTATAAGGCTGTCATTTACTGTGATATCTTAGTGCCTTGTGGTTTTTGGTATTTTTATTCTCCCGTTTATTTTCTGCCATTCCCCCTCAGCGCAGCGGGGAGCTGGGCTCTGCGGCTGGGACCCAGGCCGGCAGCGCCCTGCCTGCTGCTCCAGCAGCCTAACAGAAACCGTTCAGCCCTTCAGAAGTGTAATTGGGTTTCAGTCTTGTTCGAGACAAGGTTTGGGAGTGTCTGAGCTGTAATCGCACTGACATGCCTGTTCCCAGAACTCAGCTATTAGATTTCAGACAACGGAGAGGAACAGCATCAGGTGTCGAGTATTTTCTGCTGCTCCTACTCCACAATCTATTTTTAATATCATTTTTATTGCGTTCAAGATAAACAGAGAGTGGATGAGTTCCCATGGGAATCGGTCTATCCACCACTCACGCCGGTTTAGTTGAGGGGAAAGTACAGTCACGCGAGAGCTTCCAATGTCTTTGGTGCAAGATCCCCCCTCTTTTTATGATTTCATTATATTTACCAACTCCAGTTCACGGTAAGGCAGGAAGTGGCTGGTGCCTTGCCCCATGGTGGAGGGAGGGCAAAGGGACATTCCCCTTTGCCACCTGCCTGTGTGGGGTCCCAGAGCAGGACACGGCAAACCAACAGGTCCCTGCTACCCCCAGCTTGTGCCCAGCTCTGCTCCAGTCTGGAGAGGGTGCTCGATGTGCCCACAGCAGCAGGTTTTTGTAGCACTGCCCTGACTGCAGGGATGTGTTTGGCCAGGGAGGCTGTCAGGAGGCTGTCTGTGACCCTAAGGAAACATTCATCCATGATGGGGGGGAATTTGGTGGCAAACCCCGCAAACGGCAGTGTAAGGAGTAGGAAGGAGATGTGGGAAAGAGCTGATGGGTTCAAGAGAGGGATCTGGAGCATCGCCGGCAACTGCACTCAAGAAAATATCTGGAGTGTTCGGGAGGTGGGGCTGGTGTCATGTGGGGAGCTGGGCTGTGGCAGATGGAGCCAGAGGGGACATCTGCCCCTGGGAGTTACGGACTTAGGTCTGGAAGAATTTCTTGCTTTTATGCTGGAAGCTGAGACCTCAGAGCAAGGACCCTGCCAGATGAGGCCTGGAGAGAAACATTCCTCTTTGCGGTTGCATTTTTGGGAAGCCAAAAGTCAGAGTGAGCTCCTTCAAAGGCAGCCCTGACGGCCCTGCTCTGCAGATGGGCTGTGTGGCACCAGCTCCGATCCTTCTCCCTTTCAGTAGTGCAAACCAGGCCTGTGCTGCTCAGATCTGCAGGGCTCCTTGCAAACCACACACAGCAGCTGGAGGGAATCGGTAGGTGAGGGAGCAGAAGCAGGGTTAGGATCTGTTGGCACGGGTGTTAACAAGGCACTTAGCACAGCCCTGGAGGATGGGGCTTTGGTTTGGAGAGCCCAGGGCCTCGCAGGGTGCTGGGGAGAGCTTCTTGTCCCCTGCGTCCCTGCTGGGGTGGTGGAGGTGACACAGCTCCTGGTCTTCAAGGGATGAGTGGGGCAGCACTGGGACACTTTTAATGGGAAGCCATCACCGGAGGCATGGCATGGGCTGGGATGCTGAGCTGACCCATGCTCGTACGGACGCCCAGCCCTGCACCATGTGTGTCTTATTGCAGGTGGACAATGTGTCACACCTCCCCGTGGCCTAGCAGTGACAGGTTGGGCTGGGTCCCCTCCTGGGGAGCTGCCCTGCTCCATCCTGCACCCCAGCTAATTAATGCCCTGCAGAGGAGCTTGGCCACAAACCTGCTGAGCAGGAAAGGCTGACACCTCTATCTGCTGGAAATCTGCTCACACCCCTTGGCCAGAGGCTTGGGCAGGGCTGGAGGAGATTAGCAGACGCAGCAGTGATGCCACAAGGAGGGACACCACGGGCAGTCCTTGCCCTTGTTGTCACTGGGTGGTGACAGACCTCCTGCAGGAGGAGCTCCCAAACATCTGCCTAACCGCAGCACCAGTCCCTGCGTGCCGGAACACCACGGAGGATCTTGAATTTGGGTTCCTCCTTGTCCCTCACCACAACTAGGAGCTGGTGGAGGTGGGTCCATGCTCTCCAGGGATGTGCCCAGCTCCTGGGGTCCCTGTGCCACCAGTGGCCCCACCAGCACCAAGGCTTTGTGCTTCCCAACCACCGCTGCCCTGCATGGGCCTAGCCACCAACTTCAGCCTGCAAACCCTGTGTATGGGTGCTGGCAGCTCTCCAGGGCAAGGCACAGAGGAGAAGCAGAAATATTTCCCCCTGCACATCCCAAGGAAAAGTCGGGATCTGCAGCCTGAAGCAGGGCAGGGTGGCAATGTCCCAGCCGGGCCCCACCTGGACGTGTTTGGGGGCTGTCGTCCCGCGGGGCCTCCCGGGCGGCGAGGTGGTGAATGCCTCCTTTGACACCAAGAACTAGACCGAAACTATGTCAACGGGGAGAGCGGGGCGGCTGTTCCTGTTTTTCCTGTTGGAGGCTTTGAACTGTGTCCTGCCGGGTCAGCATGTGGGGAGACACCTCGGGCTCGGACGGGGAGGGTCTGAAACCCTAGACCCTGGGAAAGGGGAGATCGACCGCCTGGGAGAAGTATCGGTGCAGAGCCCATCCATCCCCGGGGGATTAGATGGGAGGAGGAGGGATCTGGGGCCGAGTAGTGGCCCATGTCTTCTGGAGTGAAGGTTGAAGGAGGAGAGCAAAGTCGATGTTGGGGTGCTCTGTCTCTAAAAGGCTGGCTCTTCCCTAAATGCAATCCAAGTTTTGGGTGGAAATGTGGTCTAGAAAGAAAACCACAAAGTCCCCAAAGCACTGGGGCCCCCTGGTTGCACCTCACCTCAGTGTTTAGAAACCCCACAATGGTGCTCCAGGGCTTGCTGTAAGCTAGCTGTTTGCCGGGCAGGTGGCCCGAAGTCAAGAGCAAAGAGCATCGCTCCACATCGGTGTGGTGTGAGGGCGGATTTTGGGGGCAGGCATTTTCCTGGGGCTCAGTGATTTCCTGCTCTTGTACAAAAAGGTCAGCACAGAGCCCAACCCTTTCAGATCTCAGCCCAAAAACTGGGTAAAAGCTGCCAGGAGGGTAACAGCCCAGCTTGGGCAGGGCAGCAAAGTTGGGGGCTCGCCTGCCCCACAGATCTGTGCCTTGTGCTGCACAGGCTGCACTCTGGTTTTATTACTGCAGCACTAAAGGCACAGAAGGCAATAGCATGGGACCTTTTCTCCTGATACAGGGAAAGGTGACTTGTGCTCCAGAGGCTGTTATGTGGCAGGTGGAGTGCGGGCAGGCTGTACCTGCAGGCCAGGTTCACCTTGCGCAAGCCCCAAGTCCCAAAGTGCCACCAGGAGCAGGGCTGGAAGCTTTCATCAGCCCGAGCAGAGGAGCTGGGCCAGTAGCATACATCCCCAAAATCCCCCCCCAAGAAGTGCACATGCAAAATAAATGCTGTTCAGCTGCTCTGTGAGTGTCCAAGGGGGTTCTGCTGGCACAGATGGGTCAGGCCAAGCTTGCACCTTGCCCTGTTCAGGATGTCCAGAGAGCCTCCAGTCTCTGAGAGGTATTTCCCCGTTGCCCTCTGGTTATTGCCGCAGAAAATGGGTTTATTGGAGTCAGTTTGTACAAAAGTGAGTTTTAGCAGCACGGTAGAAATCACTGTCAGGTTTATGCTCGGGTACAAAGCTCCTCTGCATCATTTTTATTATTTTGCTGACATCTAGTGTCTGAAAAGCTGCAACGCAGGATACCGAGGTTTGGATATGGGACATTCTGGAATGTTTCTTGCCCTGTTTGCAGCCAAACAGGCACCAGCACCTTCCTCCTGTTCCTCTGCAGAGCCCTGGGGTGCGGGCTGAGCTCGGTGGGGGCTGGAGCATCCCATTTGGGGGATCTGACCCCACCTGGGTGTGCAGCAAAAAACAGGGTTTGCCAGAGCAGGTCTGTGGGCTTTGGTGACTGCAGCAGAAAGTGACTTTGGAAATGCACTGTTCCTTCAGGCCTATAATGAGGGGAAAATAGCGCTGGAGCTGGGGACATCTCACCATTTCCCGCAGGATAACTGGTGACACCTCCTGCTGTCCCCTCCTCTCACCCTGCTTGCTCCCTTCTTGGAGCTGGGGGGCTGAGGGCAGCCCCATTGCCAGACCCTGGCACACAAATCCCAGTGGAGAACTTGTGTTTTGGGGGATTTTCAACTTCAGCAGCAGGGGAAATAGCAGTCCCAGAACAAGCACAGAACTAAGGGAAAGCTGCTGGGGGCAGAGACCTGGATGCTGGGAGAAGCTGGCCACCAGCAAGGGGGGGCTGCAGCCTGGTGCCAATGGATATTTTCAGGCAGAGATGCTGGAAATTAATCCCAGTTGGAATGGGAGAATGCGTTTGCAGTGGGGTGTTATACTGCTCCAAGCCTAGTGCCCCCTGATTTGATGGGCATGGAGGTGCCGGAGGGAATAAGGAACCCTGGGTACGTGTCCTCTCCTCCAGGCTCCATGGGGCAGCTGTGTGGGGTGGGAGGGCAGTGGCAGTTCCTTTGTGGGGTGCTCTCCCCTTTATCCTGCTTCTGGTCTGAGCTGCTGGTCAGATCCCCAGAGGTCACCTCCGAGCAGGACGTTCCCTTGTTAGAACAACCTGTTTTTAATGCCTGCTGATGAGCAATGCTTATTAATGTTAACTTATGCCCTGCCCTAATGTCTTTGCCCTCTGGCTCAATGAGTGAGTGTATTTGGGGTGCTGGCAATGTCCCATGTGTGACTCCATCTCCTGATGCTGCTCAGCTGGAAGAGGCTCCGTGGGGGCACAGTGGAGGTGACCCATTTGGGGGTGACAGATGACACTGACTGGCAGTGGACCACCACATTGCTTTCTGTTCATCCCCCTCCTTGGTAGTTTTTTGTTTGTTTGTTTGTTTTCTTTTTGTTTGACGTGACAGCAGCCCAGTTTTGGCACTTGGGGCTGGTACTGCTCCTTCAGCAACTCACCCAATGTGGACTCAGCCTCTTGCTGCAGATGAGGTGGGGAAGCTGCCTCTCCCCATGCCCCAAAATGTCACCAAGGGCAGAGGGGACCCCAGCAGAGACCTCCTCATATCCTGACTGGTCCTGTCCCTGTGGTCACTGGCGCGCAGGATGGCACCCACAGACCACGGGTGCTCTCGTTCCAGCCCGGTTTGAGCAAATCCCCCTAAAACATCCCCTAAAGGAATCCCCCTAAAACACCCTCAAGGCCATGGGATGTCCAGCAGAGACGGCCAAGTGCTCCTGTGTCCTTGCGTGTAAAACGTGCTTTAAGGTAAAACAGTGTTGTGGGAAACTTCATGCTGAACCGTTTACACCTCTGTTCACATGACTTTATTTTGTAAAGGCCCTCTCAAATCTTGCCAGGAGTAAAGGTTTATTTCCCCTTCCTTGAGGGCGTTTAATCCTGGACTCATTAACTTTTATTTTAATGTACAATTGCTGAGGAGAGAAAAAAAACAGCAATATTTTGTCTCAGGAAAAAGATCAGATACAACTTTATCCTGAAGCCATCAGAGATGCTTATCGACTTATTTTCTTTATTCCCCAGCTGTGTGAACTTGCAGAAGAACTAGTTTTGCTCAGCTTTGGCTTTTGGAGAGAAGAAATGATTGCTGAAGAAACGTAGCTGGGCAGCAAGTCCCTGCTCAGGATGGGGTAATGCATTGAGCATGGGACAGCAAACAAAACACATCGCTGCATGGGATCGCTGCCCTGGGTGATGGAAGCACTTGGCTTTAAAAAAAAAAAAAAAAAAAAAAAAAAAAAATCGGCAGGGAGATTTTTTCTTTCCCTAGACATTTATGCAGAAAAACACCCTCTGAGTGGGGCGTGATTTCCTTCAGCAGCTGAAATCACCTGCCTCTTGCTTTCAGCCACAACCAGCCAAGGTTTCCAAAATAAAACAAAAGCATTAAGTGTGATTATTGGGCAAGACTTGCTTCTTCCTCAGACCTCGCTGCAGCCGTCCCCAGCCCAGGGCTGCCTGGGCGAGGAGTGTGTTGGAGCCAGTGGCTGGTGGTGAGAGTCAGCAAACCCCCTTCTGTGCAGCTGGGATGAACTTTGCTTGAGAACCAACCTTTTGCCAGAATGTTCTTTTGCTGAACATCACTTTTACAATAATAATAATAAAAGAGAGAGAGACAGAAAAGGGAAATTGTTGTTGTTATTTGTTTGTTTATTGTTTGTTTTTCAGGTTAAAACAAGAGAAAAATGCTCCAGCTGCCACAGGTGGAAGCACAATGGCAGGGGTGGGAGTGGGAAGGCTGTGGTGGCTCAGGAGGTGGCTTCCTCGCAGAGCTGCCCCGCCACAACAAGGACAGAAAGAGTTAAACTTTGGTGCAGCTGGAGGAGCTCAGGCGTGGCTGTTTTCCTCCAGGATTACAACAGGCAAGGTGGCAACAGCTTTGGGGTAAGGTTAGAAAATGCCTCCTCTGGTGGGGTTCCATCCCCCTGGCACATGGCTGCAAGGGCAGTGCCTGCCTTGAGGACACAGCTGGCTGGAGGACGTGGTCGGTGGGAAGGGGAGGCAGCTGGGGAGCTTGGATTTGCCCTGTGCTCGGGAGAGCAGAGGATGAGATTTGCTGTGGCTGAGGAGCTGGTGGTGGTGACATCCTGCCTGGAGCATCTCCATGCTGCCTTTGGAAGCTGCTGAGCCAACACACTATAAGCAGAAAACTGCTCACATACAGCCCGAGTAAGTGAAGAATAAATGTTTTTAGGTTTAACTCTGGAAGCAGGTTTTGTAGGTAAACGGAAAAGAGTGAAGTTTGAAAATTGACAACCTGTCCTCACTCTGCATGTCTTTGCTTTCTGCCCCTGGGACAGGGCAGACGCTAACCCGGTTAGGGTTATGTTTAGGGTTGTTCGGAAAGAGTGAAGACACAGAGTCCGGCTGCATGTGGGGCTGTATAAAGGCTTCCATGGAGAGTTCAAAGCTGGTACTGGGTGTACCCAAAGGCTTCCGTTGGGGGCACCTTTTGATGGGAAAAAGTGTCGCTGTATGTGTAAAATGTGATCAATTTGTAAGAGAGGAGGTGTATGTCCACTCGTCCAGTAAAGCCCGTGAGAGCCAGCTGCATTTCCACGCTGTTTTGCAGGCACCAATCAAGATATTCCTTCACAATGGGTATTACGATGGTTTCAGGCTCAATTCTGGTTATTTCCACAATTCTTTCCCTGCCTCTTTTTATTAAGGCTGCAAACATCTCCACTCTTGTCGCTAGTGTCTTTGTGGGTTGGTGTGGCAGAAATACCCATTCCAACAAGAGTAATGGATCGGGGGCATTTGGATCCCATTGCGCTATAAGAGCTAGGGGTTGCGGGTCCTGGTTACACAAATAAAGTTGAATAGGCAATCCTTCTGCTCGTCGTGACATTGCTGCTTCATGAGTTCTCCTTCTATGTGACTCTGCTGTCTTTGCTTCCTTTGTCAGTTGCCGAGGCACGTTGATATCGTTGTCACCTTTCAGGAGATTGAACAATGGTGATAATACTTGATTATTAATTCCACAATAGTTTCGTATCCAATTAATATTACCAATAAACTTCTGTAGATCATTCAATGTCTTAACTTCTTGTGTGATGGTAATGGCTTGGGGTTGAATGGTTTGTTGTATGATTTTCCAGCCCAGGTATTTCCATGGTGCCTCTACTTGGATTTTCTCAGGGGCTATCTGCAACCCCGATGTTTGCAGTTCTTGTCTCAGCCTCTGAATTATTTCATGGGTTAATGATTCTGTAGGTGCCGCTACCAATATATTATCCATGTAATGATAAGTATAGGTCTTGGAATATTGTTTTCTAACAGGGGCTAGAGCTTTAGCAACACATGTTTGGCATACGGTTGGAGAATTCATCATCTCTTGTGGAAGAACAGTCCAGTGATATCTATCCATGGGTTCACTTTTGTTTATTTTTGGTACCAAAAATGCAAATCGCGGTGCATCCTTAGTGTGGAGTGGAATGGTAAAAAAAATAAAATAAAAAATCGCTGATCATTGCCCATCACTCATGCTGCAGCGAACACACTGGCTAGTGCGGTCGTATGGTGTTCAACAGACCCCATGCAATTGCAAGCCTCTATCATTTGCACCAAGGTTGTCCCATTAGGCATGGATTGCAGAATCTTTTTACGCTCTGTGTTAGCATTTTCAATCGCCAGTTTCAACATGAGAGCCTCTTTAGCTTCATGATTATCTATTTGCTTGTTCAGTGAATCCCTCAATCTGTCTATAAATTGCATATAAGGTTCATTGACTCCTTGTCGTATGCTAGTAAAAGAAGGCTGGCTCCTTCCTATTTCTGGCAGTTTCAGCAAGGCTTGTAATGCTAGTTGGGCTGACTGTCGCCAGATGGCATCGTTGAGCCAAGCTTGTAATCGTGGATCTACTAACGGCTCAGCCCCCATAAACTGAGGAAGCCCTGCACCCATAAGAGGGTCGCCTAATGTTCTTTCTAAATTCTGCAGTGCTACTGTCTCACACAGTTCTCTCTATTTCTGTTCCCATACCAATTTTTGAGTCAGCGTGAGGATCATAGCAGCTATTTGGTGACAATCATATGGAACCAGCAACTGACCTGTCATCACGTTTTCTAATAATGATTGGGTAAAAGGTGCATGCAATCCATAGGTCGTGACTGTTTTTCTCAGTTCCTTTATCAAGTCCCACTGAAAAGCATTATATTCATTTGGCCCATTATTCTGTACTGTTACTGGAAAGGCCATGCCTATCAGGTCCTCATCTCTCAATGCCTCTCGGTGTATATTGTCCCAACACTTGCAAGGGTCAAAATCTTTACTTGATCGAGGGGTCTTTACTTGATCGAGGGAATGACTTGGCTAGGTGCAGAGTCTGCTGAATTACACGCATCTTTGCTGTGAGTCTCACTGGGTTTCTCAGCATAAAGCAGGGATCCTACATACAAGGAAAAAAAAAAAAAGAGCAAATCAGAATTTTACTTTCTTTTTTTTTTTTTTCATTTAACATATGTCTGAATGGGAAGTAGCTGGCAGATTTGAGGCTCTACTCCATAACTGAGGACTTCAACAATATGACAGTATAACAGATGAACAGTCCAATAGATGAAATAAAACAGAGCTCTTCATTCCTCTGTACTCAAATATGGAAAGTCCAGTACAGAGAATGCAGCTGTGTGAGCAAAACACAGGAGATTTGTATTTTTACTTTATTATTGTTGTAAATTAAAAACATGACTTATAAACAAACCCTTTCCTCAAAAGCCTGAATTTACAGGGAGCATCTGTGGAAACAAAGTTCACATTGCCATTTGGGATGCTTATTTAAAAGACCATGACTATTTGGTTTTCCCATCCCTGGGATGCCGTATTGACAATGTCATCTGGACTTTTCAGCGGCTTTCAGCTTTAAACACTACTGAAAAGATCTTGATCCGCAGTTTTGGATCTCTGACTTCTGCACTGCAGAGTTGTATGGGAGTCCACAAAGAAACTGGCTGGTAGCTAGGCTATTGCTGCTGAGTAACAATTATTTCAAGCCTTTTCTTAAGCTGAGAGAACAAGGGTTGGAAAAGACATGAAGCATCTGGGACTCTAGTGAAAAATGGAAAGGCTTAATGGCACTGTTTGTGCAAGCCAGAGAGTTACCTAGGCCTAAGTTTATGGCTTCACCTTGATCACTTAGACCTCCCAAAGCAAAATGACTTCCCATTTTGTCTGGGAAGTGAGAAATTGCCTCTTGCAGTTCATTCTCCCTTTGCTTTAGCCCTCCCTTGTATGCCTTCAGCTAGCCAGCACAGTTTTAAAACAGTTCACCCACACACAGCCGCTGTCTGGGTGTTCTCTGTCTGTGGCTAGCATTGTGTAGGAGGCTGATCCTGACTCCTTATGTGAAAAGAGATATTTGACACACACAGATGAACAACATCCTGGTTTATCTTCCATAACTGCCTCTCATGTGCTGACCTTGCCATTTCTCCCCCTCTGCTCTCACCAGCTGCTGTCATGGGAAAGATTCCCTGATATTAGGGCTGGCCGCATGTAAAGTCAAAAGAATGCCCATGAAGAAAGGGGTGGAAGAAGTCTAAGTTAAAGAAAGCAACAGGCAAGGGTATTTTGGAGATGTTTCAATATGAAGCTGTGAACTCTGAACAGGTGTTTTGGGCTTGGTTTTATACATACGCTTTTCTACCAGTTTATCATTTCTTCTCAGTCATGGAATGTAACAAGAAACCATTCATTTTTCTCTGCTCAATTTGTTCAGGACCTTGAGGCTTGTTCCTCTACAGCAGCATATTCCTGTCTAGCTCTTGCAAACTAAGAAATACAACTGCACCATAATTAGGTCCTGGACTTCTCCTTTGTTACGGAACAGAGGTATATCTTGTGTAACTAAAGAAAAGCTGGTGTGGACAGTTTGTTACATGCATACAAGACAGGGCAGAGCAAGATGAAATAAATTAGAAATTTGGAGTTAACAGGTGCTGGGAGGGAGACTAAAAGGGAATGATGACTGCTTTATTTTTTAAAATCTGTATTTGCTAACATGCAGAACTCTGCATATTTGTACACACTAAGCCAACCCTGACTTGGATTATTGAATTAAGTAGGCTTACTCCTATGTTTGCAGCTGAAACAGCTGACCTTGTTACTAGACAAGAATTCCATTGTGACAGTTTACCTCACTAGCTGCTGCTGGATGTTGTGAAAGTTTGTGGATTTAGTCATGCCGCTAGAAGTGTAACAAACAAGTTGGAAACCCTACAAAAACACTATGTCCCAGTTCTGGAAACCTCCTCCCCTGATAAAATCTATCCAGTAGTAATGCCAGTATCATATAGTGCAGCTATTGCCTAGCTTAAACAGTTTTGTACTATCTTAACTAAGTATTTTAATAAAATTCTTACAAGTACAGGGCTTTGTCTAGCAGCTATATATGAAGACACAGAAAATAAACCAGAACAGTACGCAAAACTAATCAAATTTTAACACACGTTATTCAGTGTGTTATGTTCCTACTGCAGCGTTTATAAATCCTTCTTTTCTTTCATTATTTAAATTTTGAAAGTATCCCAAAGTACTTGTTACAGAAATAGGAGCTTGAGGAACAACCAGCATCATACCTGACAGCAGAGCTGCACCTGAGGAGGATGCGGAGGTGCCACCTATTGCTTTCA